GCTGCATTCTGGGAGGGCATTTGCTTAGTCAGTGAGAGAAGACAACTCTGCATTGCAATTTGTCTCAACCAACCGGGCCTGACGGAGCGCTACGAGCATGTGCAGTAGTTAAATGAGTTGGATCTGTGTGGCCTGACTGTGAGGAGAGGGGTGAATGGCTTCAGCTTCCACAATAGGTTAGGTGTGACCACTAATAGGGCTGGTATTGTGACAGTTATTTGATAATGAAGCCTACAATTAGACAGAGTTGCCACATTGCTCATTCCAACATAGCGAGGCATTCTTCCTAGTCAGTCACTGGCAACAAGTCCCACATCATATTGTTGACTGAGCAAGCCAAACAAATGTAGCCTCCGAACACTAACCAGGCTGCTGAATGACAATTATTTTTGGACCTAACAGACCCCAACACGGACTTCTTGAACCGAGTGACATGACCCAGCTCTTCCTGCCAACAGCAGCCAGTGTGGTAGCATACCCCTGTTGTCGCTGGGCTCCCAAGGCCCATCAAGTGTTCATTCTCAAAGTGAATGAGTTGAATCTCTGCCTCCTGGCACTAAACTAGCACTTCCTGCAGACTGAGAGGAGTCTCAGATTGGCATGCTTCAGCCTTCAAGGAAAAACCTGTGTGTAGCAGAACAAACCGACCTGTGTGTCCCGACATTCTTCTGCTATGTGCAGAAGATTGATAACTTCAAAATGAACGGAAATGACACAAAAACATACAGGCTAAACCTTCTCGTTTTTTTAATGCAGAGTGATGCACGCTGATGGTCCTATGCTCAGTTCTTCTTGCTTGACTTAACAAGAGTAGTTAACCTAATATCTTCCTGGTAAATTGCAGGATTACTAATCAGGATGGATGCTGCAGAAGCACTGCCCCTGATGCTTGCGAGCTGTTTTTGTGTTGCCTGTTCATGGCCTTGTGGTCAGAACTGCATGGAAATGTTTCCATCTGTAAATAATCATACACCGTGCATTATATTTGTTGGGTGAAGGTTGAATCATGCTAAAATACTGGCTTCTTTGTCTGATGTAGCTCTACAGTCCTGTCAAATCAGTGCAGGAACCCTTCATCCATATCTCCTAATATGTTCCAAATGTATTCTGTGGAAAATATTTTATACCAGAGGATGTTTAACATCATTATTGATTATATAATAATGGATATTGTAATTACGTTTTGTTTTTTTCATTCGATGGAACAGTCAATGATTAAGGTGCTTTAGTGAAATTTTGAAAACGAATTGTAGTGAGAAAATGTTAAACTTACTCTACTTTAGCTCTCCAACCATCACGTACATTGTTAATTTCTTTAACTATCTATTTTGGCCATTCATCATTCTCCTTTTGGCTATCCAGCACCCAATCCATAGCTAACTACCGCGACTACTTGACCAATACTTTAAGATTACTATTTCGTGAATTACTGTTTATCTATGCTCTTAAGCCATTGGCAAATTATTTGAACTGTTTATTAATTACTTCGCCTTTTCTATTTCCAACCTCTCTTTAGTACTTTTAGCTAACATAGACATCAAATCAGTCAGGATACTGACACGCTAATCTTAAGCTTCTTTCCAAGTACTGCAGAAGTTAACCCTGGGGTACTGGTTGTGAATCTTTAAGAATTTAAATCAAATCTGCATATTTTCTCCATGGACTACTTGTATTACTTTGTGGAGGAAGCACACTCTCTGTTTGAACTCTGATTGTGGTTTATCAGTGAAGATTGTCAGACTTTATTTTCAATGTGAGTTTTACCCACTTGGCCTGCGTCACATATCCCCAGAAATAATAAGTTGCTTTCATCAAAAGCACTCTTATCTATTTCTTTCTTTTTGTGCAAGTATAAAAACAAACGCTATGTTTACCTCAGATTTACTTTGGCAATTTAATGTGCACAGCTCACATGCTGAGTTGATGTTGATGCCATGTTTCAAAGCCCTGTAAGTCACTGTGGTATTGATGTTGAGAGTTAGTTATGGCAAGAATGTGCAGTGATGTGCCTGAGCAGACTGTACTTGGCTGTTTGTCTTGGTGGTGGTCTGAGGCTGCTTTATTCTGGCGCTTTGGTTCTGGAAGAACACTGAGCTTCTGGATTGACAAAATATCCTCAAGATCTGAGGGCCTTGAATTCATTACACATGTCCCCAGTCTCCAGTTTAACCCTGTGATCAAGAGCCGCTCCTTGATCACCCGTGGAGAGAAATACCACACAGAAGCCCTCTCCTTTCTCCAGAGGGAATTTGTTGTTGAGTGTAAGAGGAAGACTCTTCTAAATAGATAAATAATGTTGGTAAGCCACATAGATTAGATAAAGGGAATTTAGAGAGGTCCTAAAGAGAAGCTTGAAGGCGGTTTGGTGTAGAGAGAGAGAGACATCCGCCTCCCAATCTGGCATGTGTTTATTAGTTGTAGGTTTTACTAAGCCATTAGCTTAGGAAGAGATAAATAGCTGTTGATGTCTCATTAGAGAGCAGCAGATTCACTTAAGTGAGAAGGTTATATGGTCATGTCAAGGCCTCAGAAAGTTTAGTAGAGTAACCAGACAGAAAGGCCTGATTTAGAATGCCATAAACTTTCAATTTAAAACCAAGCTGATGAGGACAGAGTGCAAATTCCTGCCAAATGTAGACCATTAAACTGGCAGGCATTAGTGCACAAGAAGACATCATGTCTCCTGGTTACAACAAAACCTACTGATGTACACAAATAGTAAGAAGCAAGGTATTATAATCAGTCTGCCTCAAAAAGCGCTCGCTTGAGAGAAAATGAGAAATAGCAAATGAGGGAGTGAGACTGGCCCCATCAAAGGCGATAATCAATATCTGTCATCAACATTCCATAAACGCACTACCAACCAACCTGCTGTTCGTTTATCGTAGGCGATAATAAGCACATCATATTTCAGGAAAAGGCAAATGATCTGAGGTGACACGTTATGTTCTCCTTGCTCTTTTTTTCCTGGATTGCCATCAATGCTTTTTTTCTGGATTGTAGGAAATCACATGAAGTAAATGGTGAGGAACATTCACGCCACATGACGGGCTCCATATTTACGGCAAGAACTTTCCATCCATCTATTTTTACACCAGACATTGTACATAGCTGACTAACTGGAAAACAACCAACTTTTATAGCGTTATAAAAGGTGGTCGCTAACAAATGTAAATAATTAAAATGATTCAATGTAAGCTGTAGTCTGGCAGCACACTCTCCCCGGCCCCCCCGCTGGTCTGCACGTAGCGCCGCTTCTTCCATAAGACAATTACTCAGTATCAAAATACAGAGGATAGCTTGAGCAGGTCAAAGGTCAGGAACTTAGTGGGCCCTCACTACAAAGATACTTTTAAATCATAAGGTGGTGTGTGAGTGGCAGCTAGCAGTGGGTATCACACAATGAGCATGTGAGTGTGAGGTGTGATCACTGTACGCTCACCTGCCAGACACACAGCGCAGCGGGGCATCATCATCAGAGAGAAGCTCTGCAAATGCTCGGTTACATTCACATACGTGCCGCTGGTGCCTGACTACTTTTTTTGACTGACTACAATAACTCTCAGCTTCTCACAACTAACTTATAATGACACATCTTGACCAAGTGTATGCCGGTTTTTGGTACTTCGTCCGGGTGAAAAATATTATTTTCCCAAAAGTGTTTCCGTGAGGGAATAATATAAACCCTCTCATAATATTGCATGTGCCATGGATAGAAATGGCTGCCAAATAACGTGCCATATGGTAACACATGTGTGTAGTGTTAATCACTGATTTTGTGTATTATGTAAACTATGTTGTGTCAACACAATTATGCAGAGGCAAGATTAAACTCTGGCGCTAACAGACAGCTTGACAATTCAAAACACAGACAAGTGCAGATCCATGCTGGTCGTCGGCCAATATTCATCAGAGGCAACCTGTGGTTATAAGGAATGAATACCATAATAGTGGTGAGAGTTGTGGCGTGAGCAGCAGTTTATTTGGTGGAAAGCTCCTTCTCTCACTCTGTATTTGATTTGCCCATGAGTTGCATAACAGTCCGTTTGTGTAGGCGTAGTAGACTTCCATGTGTCTTTTGGTCTCAGGTCCTGACGGCCACACAGATGGACAATGAAATGAGGTTCCAATTTCCTGGAAGGATTAGCCAAGTGGGAATCTGTCATCTTCATAGACTGATAGAGCAGAGACTTGATCTGTGTAAATGAATTTCCAGGTTTTAAAAATGAAAAATATGCTCTGAAGGGAATGTGGCCTGCGGTCTGCCAGACTCATGCATTGTAGATTATTCAGGCAGCAATGAAGGGACCTACCTGTCAATGACAAGTTCTTTCTTGGAACAAAGTCTGGGCTTTGCCTCCAAGAATAAAGGTATCAACGAATCCCGTTGTGTAGAATGGACGTCGCCTCAAAACGTACACTAGCAAATACTTTTGAGGTTCAGAATCAGAAGGTTTATTGTCAAAAAGGTTTTTACTGAGGAGGAATTTGCCTTGGCGTTTGGGGCATACAGTTAACATATTGAGAGGAAACTAAATACTGGGAAAGTAAAAAGTAAAGAACAAAAATATATATAGGATTATTAAACAACAGGAAAGCTCTATTCCAAACCAAGACTGCAAACTTTTATAACTCTTCAAAACTTGCAGTGCATACCAGATGCTTTACCTTTGATCTTACCTTCACAATAAAAGCACTTAAAGTGTGTAACTGTTTATCAGAAATACCTTAAATGTATTCAGAGCGTTTCATTTAAAAAGGAAACTCAAAATAATAGAGAATGATATAGATTTTTTTTCTGAAGAAAGAGCTACCGAGAGTCTATTTGAAACTCTTACTGAACAAGTTTTGAATGTGTTTTACATGTGCATTTCTGCGGGGATGTAGTTTCGATACTAAATATTCAGAGGCTATTATTTAGCATCTTTGTATAGTTTTCTCATCATGCCCTCAGTGTGTAGAGGCCTTAAAACAACAACAACAAAATGACAGTGATACAATATTGATAGTTTCCATTTAAAAAAGAAGATTTATTCAAATGTATTTTACATATATACATTGTTAGGGTATATTATCATCATAAAGTGGACTTTGGATTGGATAAAACTTAATTTTATATAAATGTTTAAAATCAATGGATCCACGTCATCTTAATTTGAACAGCTAAATAACTTTCATCATCAGTGCATGATTTGTGTGATAAAGTGCTTGTTTTTAGTTCAAAGAGTATTTCCTGAGCAGTCTGAGTTTTTTGGCATTGGCAGTCTTCAGAACCAGGAAGAGAAGCCATGTTTTTCCTTCACCACCCATATGCTGTCAATCACCTTCCCATACTAGAACACACAGAAAAGTATTTGTTATGAATTGAGGCAATACTCTTTGACCTTAAATGTATCCTTTTACCTTTGCTGTGCTTGTATGCATGTTTTTCTTGCATGTGTGCTCACCTGATCATCTGACACCTGCTCTAAGTACAGGTGGGTGGCGTTGACCACTTGCATGCGGGTGTAGCCGTAGTCTGTGCTGCGGAGAGCGCTCCACTCTTTGGGGTTTGGATTGAACAGGTCGGTCTTCTCTCTGCAGCCCTGCGGAGGAATCAGTGATTTAACAAAAAATCTGCTAGTAATGAACCGCATGTCTTTCACGAGCTCCGTCCACAAAGCCCTGTAGGACATTTACAACTGTGGCTGAGCCTCGGTGTGTGTCTGGCCGCATTTTGATACGCTGATGAGTAATCCCTCTGTGGTTGGATGACGAAGCATGCACTGCACTGCTCACAACCACATCAGAAAACACTCAACCAGAGGCACAGCTGCTACCAAACTCCTGTGGCATACCAACTGCTGCAGAGAGGACTGTGAACAATACATAACATTGTTTTTGTTGGTGAAACTCTGTTTGTTCATACACCTGGGGAGGATAACAGAGTTGAAATAAAGGGAAAGTACTTACGGCAGAGCCTGTTATGATGTGGACTGGAGCTTTAGGGTTCACGTAAGGCTGCGCTTTGCTCCCATTGTAAACCTAAAGAGAAAAACAGATCAAGTTTTTTCCCTGATCTAAAATAAAGACTATAGATATAAGAGCGCGGAGGATTAAGAATGCAAGAGCTGACCTTGTCACGGTAGACGGGCCAAAGTCTCTCATATGTGTGCTCATGTGCCCACAACGCCACATCCACTCCTGTAAAACATATTTGATTAGAATCAGGAACCTTCCATAGAAGAAAATATAACATTCTTGCTCTGTACGCTCATGTTTCTCAGATCCTCTGCCCATTTCATTTTGAGATGTCTCAGAAATCAACAAAAGCTTAAAATCAGAGGGACCAAATAGTTCCATTACGACTAAACAATTAAATGCAACAAACAAAAGTCTGGGAAACGTAATACAGGAAAAACATTTGCAAATGGGCTGAAGGGATGCCAGCCAGACCAAAGCCTGCTTTTTTAATAAAGAATGTTTGGATTGCTGTGCTCTTTGAAACTTTTGGGACATTAGTCTGTCTGAGTGCGCAAGTATGTGATCTTAAAGACCCATTAGCGGCACACAAATAGAGACCATACCTTGGCGGTAAAATAAATCCTCGAGACCGGGAGCTGGCGGTTTGGTGAAATTCAGTCCCAGTCTGACCTGAGATAAAACAGAGAGGAATTATGTCAGCGTGAACTTGCATTACTGTCCGAAACACGACCTGCCTCCTGAAACACAACCTGGTAGCATGCACCTATCAGCCTCACTCCAAACCGTGCCAAGTGCCGAGGGAAGTAAGCATAAGTGGAAACTATTTGGTACAAAATACAGTGATTATGACAGCACACCGCACTCAATGTGCCTGTGTGGTGTGGCCAGCCTGCAACACGTGCCACACGTCTGCTACCGGGGCCGTTAAAGTGTCCGGTAACACAAATCCTACTAATACCTTTTTGATGATACAAAATAAAGCCTTTAAGAGTACAGATGATGTGCTGCAGTCTAAAGAACACACTGTAAAACTGTGTTTGTAGGCAATTAATCAAATGTGTTAGGGTAATGATATCATTTTCTTTTGCTTGGCCAAAACGAATAAAAGGTTAGGGACAGTTGTAACACCAAAACTTTTATAATCACACCAATAAAATGTCTGCCATAAGAAATTCAGTAAAGTCATAACAACAGGAGCTTTCACACTTGACACCAAGTAGCAGTGTGAGGTACTTTGTGTTTTTAAAAACAACAACCACCTGATGATATTAAAAGGTGCTTTGTTATCAAAGTAAAATTCCCAGCTTAGGTGTCAATGGCAGTAAGATTTTGTTTTTATTTCAATAACCTGCTAAAAATAGAAGTTATTGGGTGTTTACTATATTTTATCTATAAAATCTTTAAGGACAGAACACTTGGTACGTTGGTAAAAAGTTATAACCAAGGCTTTTTCAGTCGAGTGTATTCAAAAGAGTTAAATGCAATAAAAAAAACATATATTTTATTTAAACTTCTTATAACATTAAAATAAATGCATTGTTTTCACATTTAAATACCTAGCTTTCATCGTCAGACATATAGGAAATGTAAATGTCCGGCCCTTTTACCAATCTTTCTTTTCTCATAAAGTGATGCTACTTGGAGAGGTCCCAGTTCACCTCCTGGGCCCTGCCGTGGTGCCCTTGAGCAATGCACCGGACAACCCCCCCACCCCCCTCACTCCCGGGGCGCTGTACAATAGCTGCCCACTGCTCCTGGTACTAGGATGGGTTAAATGCAGAGGCCACATGTCACTGTGTGTGCTGTGTGCTCTGCATGTGTGACCATTAAAGAGGGTTTCATCCCTCCCATTAAAAAGGGGCCTGGTGTATGTGCTCCTTATCGAACTGCTGTCAGTACGGGTTTGACAGCAATACATCATCTGGCAGTGTGAAGAAATCCTTAAATGAGGTTACTGTGTACATTAGGAAATGTGTGTGGATTATGTGTGTTTGATTTGCATACAAGGGAGTCGAAGGTGGTACAGTCGTCCTGATCGTCGTCGGAGCAGTACATGGGTCTGTGTCCCATGGTGATGATCCACGGACGCACTGCTCGGTTCTCTGGCTTGTTGGCCTCCTACGTTGGGAAAAGAAAGACAAGCACATGTAAATGTGTGTGTGAAATCTTGATGGGATAATTTTACGATGGAACAAAATAAGAAATCAGTACATTTTATTTGTTTATGCAAAGAATGGAACTATTTCTACAAACAAATGGAAAAAGAGAGTGTTAACAAAAGAGAGGACTTAGTTATCATCAACACGTGTAAGTGGTGCGGTTATTAACCTCCAGGTCTTTCTTCAGCCACTCGTACTGCTTGAAGACGAGCTCCAGGCCGTATTCGAGGTAGAAATAAACCTCGGTGGAGAGGGAGATGATGTGCGCTGACCCCAGGTTCCAGCTGTGGACACACATCGTTAAAATGATACACAGCCGAGACCCAGCAGAGGAAGCATGCTGAAAGTCAGCACATAAGCAAAAACAGGCCTCACTTTAAACGCCACAAAAGTGTGAAAAATACTTCCAAATCCAAGCAATGTTCTTTTCTCTGACATTTCGCTGCTGGATGCAGTGCCAGATCCACTTTGGAGCATTAAGTCCCTGCTGTAACATGAGCGCTTACGTGTTCATCCTGCTCGGTTCATGGAAAAGCGTGTGTTCTGTGCATGTGTTCTGCATGTTGTAAACTGAACTGTTTCCAGTAGCAGTGGTGGGACTTCTTGTTCCCAGAGACTGATCAGCGGGCAGCTGGCCTGTGGTCGAGCACCGTATTATCTTACTGCCTGAGACAGGGACGTCTGCAGTGTGCCATGAGTCACTTAGTTAGATGTGTAGCTTCTTTGTGCAGTTCCAATGTCTCTGAGATAGCCAATTCCTCTGGGCTGCCTCTTGCAGGTCATTAATGCTTGCTGAAATACAGTAGGAGGCTAGGTAAACCTTCACATGATACTTCACATGGGGCCCATGTTGGAAAATATATGATTTCTTTTTCCGAGCCTCCATTTTTTACGACTAACCAAAACGGCTTGTGGTTTATCACGTCAAAAGGCCCCACATATTCTCTTCCAGCTTACCTGTACCACAGGCTCTCCGTCTGGCCCGGCATGCTGAAACGATTCCTATAGTTGGAGAAGTTACTATGGGGAAAAATAAAGAAAAATAAAGTTAAACGGAGGGACTGATCATGCAATCTACGTTCTTTGAATATCTAAGTGATGGCAATTAACGCCACAGACTCCCGCTCTCTCTTATTTTGTGGTGCCTACACAATACACTCATTCTCAGCTTTGCTTGTAAATATATTATATCTTTAAAAATACTGTCCTGTTTTCTTTTGTTTCCTCAGTTTTTCACTTTGATTTCAACCTGCCAGAAAACTCAGGGTGGTATATCACTGGATAAAGATGACCATCAAGCTTCTGTGGTGACATCTGCTACAAAGTAAAAAAATATATATATGAAGCTAGTTTTAGATATTTCGGAGAAACTGTACACTTTGCTGTCGCCAGCATATCAGTGGCTGCTTCTCCAAATTAGAGGCTGTAGAAAACATGAACGTAGCGTTTTTGACCTCACCCTATGGCGTTCTAACGGGAGCTTTTGAAGCTTAGAATCTTGGTCAGATAACCAAAATTTGGGGGAGCCTGGATGGAGCCAAGATGGGACAAGAAAGTAGGAGCCACCATGGCGGAGAACGCTTCACCTGTCAATCACGAACACAGGCCGCTAAACACACCCCTCACAAAACCATGACATCTTTAAAGAACAGTATAATTTAAGATCTAGATGAATTACATCTCATGCACTTCCTTGGTGGTTTTTAGGACTGAGATTTGGTGGTTCCTACTTGCTCCAGATATAGGATGTAGGATAGAAGCATTTAACTATCACTGTCACCACAATCACTACCGCTTATTTCGGGACTCTTTACATTTCATACATATGAATCCTTAATGGGAGCGTTCACACGAAGAACTTTTCCCACAAAGCTTCCTGAGAACTCTTTAGTTCTCATAAACTAAGTACAGATCGCGTTCACACCGGAAATTAGTTCCTGGGGGTGGATTAGGCAAATGAAGCAATGAAGCCGCTGACGTCACTTCTTCTGCTTTAGGTTTACTGGCAGGCCGCAAACAACTTCACGGCGTATACTGCCGCCCAAAATCTCCGGCCGGAAGTCCCCGGAGTTAGGGACTGGCTTCAGTAGAAGCTGCTGGGACTCCCAGCAGCTTCTACTGAAGCCTTCCGAGTAAATCGCCAGAACGCCGACACCTCCTCATCTCCACCGCTCCCATGTTTTATTTTGTGTTGTCATAAGTTAGTCTCTCTGCGTTTCTGCGCTGGGCTAATGCTAATGCTAATAATGCAATGGGAGGATAATAAAATGGCGGCTTCACAAAAGTTTTTGGGAGTTCGACGGGGCGTGGTTTGCATTCGGCCCAGCCAATCAGACATAGGAACCTTTTTCTCCCACGAAAGTCCCTGCTAGAGAGCAGGGACTGAAAAGGGGGTAAAAAAGGTTTCTCTAGAACTAATTTAGTTCCTGGGACTTTTTGGTGTGAACGCAACTAAATCGTAGTTCTCAGGAACCTTTGTGGGAAAAGTACTTGGTGTGAACGCGCCTATGACACAAATACTCAAAAACAACATTCAACAAATCGTATCAAACCAACACTCCATCAGTACAATGGGTGCACCATGCGAGAAGGAAAAACTCTTTCATGGAAAGCAACCCGCCAGTCTCTTTTCACGGTTTTTAATTTCCGCATGAAGGCAGGAGCCAATCTTCTCAACGGGCCATTAACTGTCCGAGGTGATGGGATTGATTGTTTTCTTATCTTACATAAGGGATGGAAAAAGAGGGAGTATACTGGACCGCAGCCGGGTCAGGGTGGGACAGTTCAGATCCCTGCACTGACTGGGTTAATGTAGGGTTAGGGGTAACTAGAGAGCAGCGGGGTCACAGGTCAAAGGCCAGGAACAGGGACACAAAGGCAGGATCACAGCGAGGTCAGGGTGAAATGGGCCAGTGTGCGATCCAGCAGTGGCTCGTTTGTGATCTCTCAGCATGAAGGACAATGCAGAGTCGTTTTTATGGACATACCACAACTTTGTGTAAGTGTGACATACTATTTTGAAAGCTGAAATGTCATATTATAGTCTGGATTGTTCGGAAATATATATTAAACGAAGCATCATAGCATTTTCAGCAATGCATCAACTGACATGTACAGTATGTTCTGATGCATCATAGAAGGAGATCAAATAGATACGTATAAAGAGTGAGATCAGTTCAACTCATGGCATTGAACCAGAAACGGTCATAAAATGGGTTCATACTCCCATCTTGTGTCTGGGAAGTGTACCAGCAGCCATATAGAGGGCTCTGGGAAAGCAGTTAGTAGAAATAAACATTTTATTCAGTAAAAATAATACACACACTCTCTAGGAATTCAAACTGAGTATTATAACCAGGCATGCCCTGAGGGGAAGGATTAGCCTGTAGAAATACATTCAACAGCAGGTTTTAAAGTCTAATTGTAAGGCTTAGCGGTGGAAAACCTTAAAGAAATACGATTCAATTATATTCGTCTCATAATTCTGAACTACGGGAGTCCGACGTTTAACATGCGTGTTGTCCTCTGTAACCCAGAGCAAGCGTGTTTCCATGTGTGTTTGCTTTTCCATTAAAACAAGACCGAGATGCAAATCTAGTTGCTGTCAAAGTCAATGTGAACAACCTGACTCTTAAACTGACCCAACAAGACCCCCACCCTCCCTTCATCAGATCTTCCCTTTCATCCTCTGATGAGCTTAATCCAGGCAGTTGGAGACATTGCCTCAACCAGTTGTAGTCTAAAGGAAACATGTCACTATCTTCCATCCCAGGGCAGCGTTTGAAACACAGATGCTCGTTCCCCTGTCCCTCCGAGGTCCCGATGAACCATATTGTGCTCGGTGAACAAAGACAGTCTTGATTGGGGCCTTAGCATCTTCTGAGGGTCCACTGTTCTCATCCTGCTGGAATGCTGACTGAAAACGTTTGTGGTCAGCCATGTTTCAATTGCCTTTTTAGATTTTGAGGTTGGAAAGAGGGATGAATTGAGAAGTACAGTGCGAGAGGAAGAAAAAAGCAGGGGCCAGCTGCTGGGAGTATTTGGATTCGTAACAATACCACAGAGCAAAACACACATTTAGGTATAGGAAAGGGAGGGAGAGGGTTAGATTTCTGGTTATGTAATGCAGCGAGCTGTTTCTTGATGTTAGGTTTTTGTGTCAGCATGCAGCGCCAAGAAAAAGAGACTACTGTTAGCAGCTTCTTAATAAAGACCAGGCAGTAGTCGCGTTACACATTGCGAGGCCAGGCGAGGACTGTTCAGCAGCGGCAGCAAGTAAATATTATGCTGCAAGATCAGGCACCTCTAAACGTTTCAAAATGCATAAACACACACAAGTGACTCCAGCAGATGTTCGTGGAAGTTAGGAATACATCAGCCGCTAACGCTCGGAATGAGGCTGCTGAGGGTCTCTGCTTTTCTCTCCTCTTTACTCATCTTCATCACAGCAACATTGAACTCGAGGTTGCAAATTGTATCCAGGACAGATTATAGGCTCTTACTTATGGAGAGTGGTACATTTCTGTTCCATATTACTGGGACTTCAAACAACCATGTATTTATGAGTTGCATTGTGGGGACATTGATAGAGCTCAAAGGATAAAGACAAAATATAACAGAATATCAAAATACGACGAGGCTGCTACAATATGTTTAGGGCTTCAAAAAAGGTTTTATAGCCAATTAATCTGCATTATTTTAATATCTAAAGTGGCTTGATATTTGCTTTAACATATCATTTGGAAGTAAAAACTGAGTGCATAATAAAATGGCTGACCAATGTCACCATTAGTGTTTGGATTTGATCCCCACTTACCAAAGACAATGAATGTAAGCTGTTCGGTGGTGAAGAAATGTACGTTACTGTGGAGAACAAAAAGCAGTGTGTCCTGTGTTGTCAGTGTTAGTAGGCAGTGAAAACAGAAAGCAGTTGGTTGTCTTTGCAACAGTGGCCCCAACAACAACACCACTTTGAAACACTGCAGACCTTGGCCACCCCTCTCACCGCATGGGACTATCTATAAAATGTCCACTACAATTGTTTTGTCTGGCCATCAGTCAAATCCTCACATTTAAAGGCTGGAACCAGCAGATGTCTATTATCTTATATTGAAAAACACTGATTACCCACTCTTTAAAACATTTTATGTTTCCGCAATTGTCCAATCAATAAATATTTCAGCTCTGAATTTGTACTTTCCCCCACACTTCAGTTGCATTCTCTCAGACCGGAGAATGTCCCAGACCGCAAGACGTTCAGTGAGGCCGATTCAATACGCAGACAGAGTTACAACCGTGTCTCTGAAAAACATGTAGTGAGCTGATTATTACCAGTCAGATAAATGTTTGCTTTGGAGAGCGTTGCTTTGTTTACATGTTGGTGGCTATTAATGCTGCTCCAGCCTTTAGAGACCAAAATAGCTCCCATCTGCTCATGGTAAAGTTAGAAGTTTTCAATAGTGTGTTCATTAAAGGGGAAAAACTGTGGTTTACCAACAATTTTT